CCAATTTTAAAGAGAAGATTTCTGTGAAATGCAGAAATCTGAAGATGCTGTTGAGCTTGTCTCCACAACTTCCCCCATGGGATGTACAGATTAAAAGGAAGTATTAATTAAGTGATTACATTTATGATGTCAATTGTGCTCACAAAAGGAAGATGTTACTTGATATTTTCCTTGGTTCCTCATTGCATTCAAAGAAGTCTCATTTACTGCACAGCACCCAAGCCTGCAACCGGTAAGAGATTTTTTTCTCTTCTTCAAAGGCTTTAATTAACATCAGAGCAGTGCACCTGGAGTACAGTACCATCCTCAGTGCTTGTGAATGACACAGTACTGAAACAATGACCAGCTGTGACTTCCTTATTTCACCCCACCTTTCCACTCCCCAGCCTGGACTTCCCATTTCTATCCTACGTAGACACATGCCAATAGAAGGTATATTAAGGAAGAAAATGGGTCTTGCCACTCACCATTCCAATTCTTAGTCATGCTATAAAAATGTATGTTCCCTTACATTTTCTCTCTTTAAAATGTAAGTTGAGTGGTCTGCAAACTTAAGAAATAAATAGCATATATAAATATGGTCATTAGACCTTTTATGTGTATTTTTTCTGCATAGCTGATTCCCCAGAAAAGCAGGCATATTAAGTCGCAGATATTATAAGAGCAGATATTAAAAAAATAGGTTTTCTTTTTACTCTGAAAAATGCTAATGCTGTCCATGACTGGAGTTAAATCTTGTGAAAGACCACAGCATGATAGCATTACCATTTTCAGATGGTTGGTGTTTTTCAAGAAATAGCCACTGCCAACTCTTCTCATTGAACACCTCTATGATATTGAGTTCCTGTGTCTGGATTCCTTAAAAAACTAATAAAATAAATGTAGCTACACTAGCAAGTTCACTGGCTTCAAACATAGCAAAGTATTGCAATAAACTGAGTGGTATAGCATTAGATAAGTTACCAAACAGCAGTAAGAGATTACTTCTTGCCAGAGGTTAAAATAGAAAGGGAAGCTCATTCTGGCTGCTGTCATAAAAGGACTCAACATCTACTGATGATTGAGCGTCTTCATCACTTGCATGTGTTCAGTTTCCCAGGGAAGAGTTTCACTTCCTTGGTAACAAAAAAATAACTCACTCTTGACATTTAATTCCTTCTGTTATGAAGGAAGTCAGACTAGATCATAATTGCCTTTCCTATCTCCAAAATCTGTGATAATATGGATTACAGAATATTTCTTTGGGAAAAAAAAAATCTCACTTGGTCAGACAGTGTGTATACAAAGCTGGAACTGACTCAGCTCAACCTTCCTACTGCCACCTCTTCGGATCAAGACACCATGTAGCTTTAACCTTGGTACGGAGTTTCCTTTTTCGTTAAAACCAATAAATAAAAGAGAAGGCTCAAGAGTCCTAAGCTCAGAGCAAAATTTCTGCAATTTGGAAAAGTTTCAACTCCCTTTCAAACAAGAGGTAGAAGGAGGAACAACTTGAACCTAAGAAGCCATGGAGCTACTACTGAGATGTGCAACAGGGAAGAAGGCTTCAGGTCCTGCCTTTTCCCCTCTAATCGTAGAATCACAGAATGGTTTGGGTTGGAAGGGACCTTTAAAGATCATCTAGTCGAACTCCCCATGCCTTGGGCAGACACATCTTCCACTAGATCAGGTTGCTCAAAGCCCTGTCCAACCTGCCCTTGGACACTTCCAGGGTTGGGGTATCCACAACTTCTCTGGGCAACCTGTTCCAGTGCCTCACCACTTCCATAGTAAAAAAATTTCTTCCTTATTTATTCCTTATCAGAATCTGGCCAGTGTCCTCTTCTGCTCATGTATGTTGGCCTAAGTCACCCCACCCTCCCCTTTCTCCATCATCTGTGTTTTGCGGTACAATGTCTTCCTAGATTCTTCCTTACCTTTAACTGGCTCTGCATTTCTTTTACTGGATGGATACAGTAAAAACTGCCTCTTTAAACCTGAAAAGGAATTTAATAAAAAGGAGAAATAGCCAAGGAGGGGACTTTGCTTAATCTTGTAGCCTCTTTTGTCCATCTACCCTCCCCTAATCCCTGTAGTCTCTGGGATCTATAGCATTCTGAATAGAGAAATAGCAGTATCTACTTTCCTGACTCTTTTTGAACTGACCTATGGTGGTTTCTTTTGGTTACTTCCAATGGAAATAAAATACAGAAAAGGTGAAATACAGAAATGGCTCTGAGCTCAAGGGCCAGATCTCCCTGTTGCTCTGTGGCTGCCATGAGCACTGTTTCCATTTGTTCTCATGCTCATCCAAGAAATGTTCGGGAGTTTTTTTCTAGTAGTGGCATCACTTCATATAGATCGGGTAGGGAGTACTCAAGAGTGCCTTATGATCCATCCCCCAAAGATGTTTCCCCTTGCAAGCGTGGCTCTGAATCCCTCTGTGGCAGAATAGCAAATTGAATCTACATCTCCTACTTCTTTGGAAAGTGCTGTCACCACCATACTGCTGGTAAGAGAGAAGCGGACACTACCTTCTATTACCTGAACCTCTTTCAACTGCGACTGTCTCCTGCGAGAATCTGGTGCTTTTAAAAGATGTCCTCCAGCTCCATCTCTCCCAAAGGAAGACCTGCCTTCTGGAGCCCACCTAAGCCAAGGTGTGAGCTAGCACCAAGTTTTGCAGAAGTCTGAGCTTCCACCTTTCTACACGCAGACCTGCGGGGAAGGGGGGAAATTTAGTCTCATGTAAACTTCAGCTGGCAGCCCTCAACAGCATTTTCGGTAACGTCGTTCCGCACTTGCAAAAGTCCCTTCCACGGGGATTCACCCCTGTCCCAGCAGGGCAAGTCTTGTGGCAGCCCCCCTCCTCCCGGGCCACTGCTCCCACCTAGCGGTAGGAGCTCTGCGGGTTCCCCGAGCTCTGCTGTAAATTCCCCCGCCAGTCCCGCACCCACACGTCATAGAGCCAGCAAAGGTCAGGAAAGGGAAAGTCCCTCTTCAGATTTTTCAGCCCAGCTACACGCCTTTCAGATCGTTTCTTACGCTGAGTGCTACAGAAGACAGATTATGCCCCACCCCCCAAAAAAAAGCTTTGAAACATGAAATTCCTGTTAAAAAAATTTCCTATGGGGAAGCAGCATTCTCGCCTTCCCCTGCTGGTGAGGGAATCCAGGAGGAATTCTGAACTGGATTCCCAACATACAGAGCAGTCATCAGGAGACTGTGTGGGTCGGAGAGGTAACTGGTTTAAGATTCCAAACAGGCCACCTAGATCAGCTCCCACTTGCATAATTTCAGTGGTCTTGGGTTAACCAGAGAGAGCAGGTACCTCCAAAAAAACCAGCAAATTTTGTGTTCTGCAATACAGGAACCAACGCCTGCTTTTTCAGTAGCACCAGAGCAACAGGTCCAAAGCCCAAGTACACTCCAGAAGGTTAGGCTTAAAAGAAACACAAATATCTGAAGTTCAGTGCAAAGATCATTTATAGTCTTAAGAAAATACACAGAATGTGTGTGTGTGTGTATTTTGAAGGTAAACCTTGAACGAAGAATCTTATTTAAAAAAATAAGCATCTGACACCATTATAAAAAGTCCTCTGCAACATTAATCAAGAGGAAAAAAAAAAATCAGTTTTACAATTAGCCTGAGAAAGCGTGGGCTATACTTTAAAGATGTGCTGTATTTAAGAGGAAACTAAACCAGAGGTCATAGCCTGTTAGCATATTGATGAACTTCAAACTTCACGGTATGCCAGTAAATTTGAATAGCTAGATTGCACTAAGCACAGTAATGCATAGAAGCAAACATATTTTAACACTTACCTTAAGCAGATTTCTGCAATTTCACCAAAAGCTACTTTTACTGCGTGCATTTCTTCTGTGCTCTGACACATTCAGCATCTACTTTATTATTTAGTTCACTTAAGCTAGGCAAGATTTCCTTACCTAAATGTATTTTACTGAACTGCTACCCTGCTCTTACAAAACTATTGTGTCAATTGATTAGAAAGCAAGTGATGCAGTTAATGGTAAAAATAGTAATTGGGATAAAATCCAGAGAAAGTATTTGCACTTCAAATAGCAATAAAAATCTCTCCTGGTATAATGAGAACAGCTCTAATGAGCTAGGGATGAAAATACGAAATGTTAGAAAGCATCATCTAACAAAAACCCCTTGTGAAATTTAATTGAAGTCACTATATTTAAATATCAAAGAATGAAAATGCATAACAAATCGTACTACACTGGGGATGCAAGTATAGACTACATTCCTGGTACTATTCTGGAAAATGATCTTTAACTGCACTTGTACAGCAGAAAATATTAAACTCAATGAACTTTTCAGCTTTTACATTCTGCTATTTTTGTATTAGTAAACCAGTGGCAATTACAGAGTTATCTACTGAATGGAGTCTTTTGAACCGGAAACACAATTGAGTATCTAATTTTAATTCTGACAGGAAATCAAAATGAGTAAAATAATAATCTTTTTTAACCCTGTACAGGCTTCTGAAAGGGCTTTTTTTTTTCCTTTTTTTTTTTTTTTAAAGATACTATTTCTCTCAACTTTCTCTTGCAGTAGGCAAAGAACTCAGTAGAATTTCATCAGGAAGTTCCAGCAACAAACACATCAGGTCAGAAATTAGAAAGAAATACTTTTTTCATGGAAGACCAAACAAGGGGTCTTGAAATTATATCAAGATAAAGGGGATGGCCTTTCCCGCTGCCAGTTCAACTACAGTTTGTAGGCCAAACTGCACTAATCACAGAGGACAACATCTGGACACATGCAACTGTTGTCAAGATAACAACAAGGATAACTTGCAAGATGAGTCATCGCAAATAAAACATTACCTTTTTTTCCTCCCTTTTTTTTTTTTTTTCCCGAAGTGACATTTAAGTGGACTGAAATGTCTAATACTGGCTTTATATCTATCCATGATTTAGGTAGGTCCACAGAATTAAAATGAATTAGCCAAGACATTTTTATATGCAGCACAAATAAGTCATGTAAAAATACACATTTTATTATGTACATTTAGAGGTTAAAGTTAATTTAAATTGATACAGTTTTTCCTTCTTCAGTCCCATCTTTTGCCTCATGACATTCTGCTGCTGCTTCCAAATATTTTTCTTCAGTGACCTGCAGAAACATAACAATTCTGTTATATTTTTAAACATGATTTAATTCTCCTTGATCCTGGAAATCCTCCCCTCATACTGTCACTGTAACAAGAAAGGACAGCCTACAAAGACAATTATTGTCTCCAAAATTAAACAACCTGAATTACAGGCCTCTTCAAACTCATTTCATAGAAAAATATCATGGGTTAGGCTCTGAGCACATCCTTGGCTAATGAGTTTCAGCAGACATACAGCATTTTTTTTCTCTCTCTCTTGCCACACCAGTAAGTAAAATATTTGACCTGAAGGCTCCAAAACATCTGCTGTTTAATTCTTATGAAGATTTCACACATTTAAGCTTGCCTTGAAAGTAAGTATCTGGTTATAAGCGCTTTATGATATTTTGTAGTTCCACTTATCTTATAAACTTGCCTTTTGCATTTATTCAGTCATTGTAAAGCTTCTCTTGGATAAGTACATTTCAACTTTGAAACACTGGTTGTTTAACAGAGGTGTGTTTGCAAGAAACTCTTATTTTCCATTTAGTTTTTAAACAGGCAAAATATACTCAAAGTAGTGCGTTTATGCAGCTTACTGAAATAGCATTCCCTTTTACCTGCAGTAACTTCCACCTAGGTTCACCCAGTAGTATTAGATTTTATCTCTGCATTTACTCATAAGAAACATATTTGTATGTGTTCTCTCAAACCTGTGGCAGAAAACTTGTTACTACCTAAAATCTAGGTAAGTGTAAATACATTATTCTAATTTTTAGTTTTCTTATTTCATGTTCACAATTAAAACAGGAAAAAATAATTTTAAATTTTACACATATGTGATACCAACATTAATTCTAGAGATGAATTTGAAAAATACTAATATAAAGTGATAATTAACAACAGCTTAGAGATTTCACATGTATCTGATTTTTCTTCACCTGTGAACATTTCTATTCCTAAGGATATGTTCTTGAAGGTATTACCCATCTCTAATCATTCAAATTCTACTCTATCACAGCATATCTTTGTATTGGGTAAGCTGTACTTCACCGCTAATGAGACTTACCAGCCTCTTCGATCTTTCCAGCAGTTTGTGCCACACGGTGTGGTGAGCCTGTATTAAATGTCATTAAATGATGTTATTGCAGGCCAAAAAAAAAACCCCACCTTCTCATAGAATAGATTCTGGCAAGTGTATACAAATGATGGCACAAAACCATAACAATCCCTAATTCAGACGTTACAGCTTATGATTTCAGTGTCCGATCTGCCCATATTCCTACAGGGGACTTGAATACATGTCTGTTAATCATATCCATTCATTGTGCAGAATCATTGAGGCAGTAATGGACAAAAATGGGAATTAAAATCTTATGACAAGGAAGGGTACACAGAGATGAGGTGAGGAACCCAGTGCCCATTTGTCCCTTGAAAACTTCCCCAACTGAGACAATAGCACATGTGCTAGACCACAGGTCAAAATCATGTAAACCAACAGAAATGGGAAGAAAGACTCCTGCCTCCACCCATAGTTCTGCAAAGCCTTTGTTTAAGACTGATTAGTGCTAGGACTTTTTTTTGTTACTGTTGTTAAGTCTTTCTTTGGTGCCATGGAAGACTTTGAAATAGTATCCTTTATCATGAGTATAAATTCAAAGTTCTGCTCTTTCCTGAACCTGAATTAACACTGTCAGCAGCCTCAACTTCAGAAGATTAGCATGCACAACTAACTAGGGCAAGGTGAATGAAATATCCATGCAGAAATTGCGCAACTGAAACACTTTCAGTATGGAAAAATAACATCAAGGGCCCTCTGACGCAAACTTTTGTAGTTCTGATTTCACATCCACAATAGTTCCAGGAAAACAAACCCCAAATATCCAACACAGTCATCTTCACTGGCCTTCCCTTTCTGCTCCTGTTCTCACCTCTGACTTACGTTCAGCTACCAGCACAGCATATAATAAAGATCAGAAAGTAAGTCAAATGCCCTAACTTAAAGAAGGAAAACGTGTACAAAATGGATAAGTTACCTTCAGATGGATTGGCAGGGACACACCCTGGAACCTCCTTATCAATTCAGATTGGTTAGTCTGAAGATTATGAGCTGCTGTTATCTCATACTGGAAACAGAAACTTGTCCTTGGAATATGAGGGCCTTCACTAACATCTACAAAGTCACCAAACCTGATGGGAGAAAAAAAAACCCTATGTCAAATATATTTGGAGAGAAGTACAAAACTATTTGTTTTTATTTTTGATTAGCAATTTCCTATCTATAGAACAGATGAAAGAAAACCCAGACAAATCCCAAACCAAATCTAAACAAAACCCCAGCTTAGCATTTCTACATTTCATGAAGCAAAAGTACAGGTCACACAATTTCCTAAAAAGAATTTATGAAATTTAAACCTCAAGTCTAGAAAGAGGATCCTAGGTTTAACAAATCTTTGAAGCCATGTTGGCTTTAAAAGTGGGATAACTCCATCATTCACCAGAAAAAGATTTGTCTCGAAGATCACACATTTTCCACAGTACAGTGGAAAAATGCAGTACAACCTGCACAGGTATTTCCTTTTCAGGTCTTGGAAAACTGCAAATCAATAAGAAAAGTGAGAGACAGAAAGATGTACAGCAAAAGAACATTTAGAACAAACCTCTCCCAGAAATCAATAGGTAAGCCCAGTTTCCCTCTTACTGAGCAAACTAGAGACTAGGAGGAAGGAGGAACAACAGATACAACATCATTCTAAAATTTCAAGAACCATCACTGCGAAGACATCTGCTCCTTTAGAGAGATTTGGACTCCAAAATCAAATGCAGAACAATTTAGCCATCTAGAAAACTGAATATCCTACACTAGCCTAAGCTAGTCAGATTCTTTTATATGCCTGAGATACAGTACAAGCTTCCAGCCTCCAGCGTAAGAACTTGATATCTTACACTGTATCCCAGGAGCCAGCTCCATTCTCATCTCCACCACTACAAGGCAGTAGCTTGCCAGTTAGGAAGATCTTGACAACTTTGAAAGAAAAGTCCACTATACAATGCTACCTCTGGTTTTCAAACAAGTATTTGGTTTGTATTTTATTCAACCTGTTAAGCTCTAGAGATTTATTTAGATTTTATGTAAAAGCATTTAAAGCAGCAAGACTTCTCTGGCACTTACCACCTTTAACATAACAAGAAATAGAAACGTAGTGAGATGCACCAAATGTTAAGTATCACAAAACAATGATTGTATTAAAAAAACAAAAAACACCCAAACAACAACTTAAGACAGACTACAGACAGCAATGAATACAAGTGATTTCTAAACAGAAAACCATCACAAGTAACTTACTCTTCTCACTTGCAGAGTACTTGCAATATAATCCAATCTTTCAGTGAATCATTACAGAATGAAAGTTCAGTTTTTCTCACCTATGTAACGTTACAATTCCTTCCATATTCTGAGAAGCCTTTTGTTCTATCATCTCCATTTTGTATCTGAACAAGACAAAAAAAAGATTAAAAAAATCCTCACCTTTAACACCTAGTTCTTTTAAGAATACTTAAGAGAGCGATTTAAGGAGCATTCTTAAAAATCATGCTCGTATTTATGTGAGCTTTGAAACAGGTTTAAATTCTTAATTTTATACGATAATGCGTGTTGTCTTGTTTCATAAAGCATGTCATACAGACCTGTTAGTCTAACTGCACTTCCTGGAAAAATTATGAAGATTATACTGAGTACTACTGAAAGGCATTTAAAGAATAACACAATCATCAAGCACAGTCAACACGGGTTCACAAAGGGAAAGTTCTGTTTCATTAATTTGATATCCTTCTATGATAAGGTCATATGCCTGGTGGATGAAGGGAAGGCAACGGTTGTAGTTTTTCTGGATTTTAGTAAGGCTTTTGATACTGTCTCTCACAGCATCCTTCTGGACAAGTTGTCCAACTGTGGGATGAGCAGGTTCACAGCGCACTGGGTGAAGAACTGGTTGAAGGGCAGAGCTCATAAGGGTAGTAGTGAATGGGGCTGCATCTGCCTGGCGACCGGTCACCAGGGGTGTTCCTCAGGGTTCAGTTCTAGGGCCAGTTTCATTTAATACGTTTATCAATGATCTGGATGCAAGAGTTTAATACACCATTAACAAGTTTGCTGATGATACCAAACCAGGAGGTGCTGTTGACTCTCTTGAGGGACCAGAGGCCTTGTAGAAGGATCTAGATAGATGGGAGCATTGGGCTATGATTAATGGGATGAAGCGTAACAAGTTGAAATGCCGGATTCTGCACCTAGGATGGAGTAATGCCAGGCATAAGTATAAACTGGGAGAGGAGTGGCTGGAGAGCAGCCCTGCAGAAAGGTATCTGGGGGTGCTGGTTGACAGCAGGCTCAATATGAGCCAGCAGTGTGCCCTGGCAGCCAGGAGGGCAAACCGCATCCTGGGGTGCATCAAACACAGCATAACCAGCCAGTCAAAAGAAGTGATTATCCCGCTGTGTTCAGCATTGGTGCAGCCTCACCTTGAATACTGTGTGCAGTTCTGGGCCCCACAATTTAAGAAGGATGTGAAGGTCCTTGAATGCATCCAGAGGAGGGCAACAAAGCTGATGAAAGGGCTGGAAGGAATGGCCTATGAGGAGCAGCTAAGGACTTCGGGCTTGTCCAGTTTGGAGAAAAGGAGGCTGAGGGCTGACCTCATTGCTCTCTACAGATTCCTGAGCAGGGGAAATGAAGAGGGAAGTGCTGAGCTCTTCTCCCTGGGATCCAGTGACAGGACACATGGGAATGGTTCAAAGCCACACCAGGCAAGGTTTAGACTGGACATTAGGAAGCATCTTTACCAAGAAGGTGGTCAAATACTGGAACACGCTTCTTAGAGAGGTGTTCGATGCCCCAAGCCTGTCAAATCTTTAAGAGGCATTTGAATGCCCTTAGTAACACACATTAACTTGGTCAGCCCTGAATGGATCAGGCAGTTGGACTAGATGATAGTTGTAGGTCCCTTCCAACTGAAATAGTCTATTCTATTCTATTCTATTCTATTCTATTCTATGTATATGTTATAGGAGGGCCATGCTCTCTCAGCAGTTTTATTCAAAGAGATAAAATGAACCTACTACTTCAAATAAAAATAAGAGTTTTTCAAGTCACATGTAAGACTAGAAGACACTATCAGATCACCTGAACTGATTTTATGCAATGTGTGGTCCTCAGCAGCTGGTCATCTGCAAGACAGCAAAGTGTTCTCTGCTCTTTCTACACATACACAGATATACATCTAAAGCTATTATCAAAAGTCAGCTCCCAGCTGCTGTCAATGCTTGCCAGCCAACACAGCAAAGAGATGCTAGTCCGCATGTCACATTAGTATCATCTTCATTACTAAGCTAAAAACTAGTTATTTTTGCAACTTTAGCTTTAGCGTAATTTTATTTTGATTCACAAAATTATAAATTATTTATCATTTCCCCCATCTCTCTCCAACCACCAAAAAGCTGTGGACCAGAGAATTTTTTTTCCCCGAAACATTGCTTAAGTGGTTTTTCAGCAGAAAATACTGAAGTGTTTTGAACAAGCCTTCTTTTGTAGCACAAGCCAGAGTATTTTATCCATTTTTCTGCTGCAGAACTCAAAAACTGCATTTCATCAAATCTTCATTTGAAGATACCAGGATATGAAAAATCTACATTTCTTTGAATATGAAAGCCTTTCAACAAAGGCTGAGAGCAGCTAGCATGCCAAGTCTAACCACCAGAGCTTCAATATAAAAGCAGTGAAATCTTGAAGCTCACTATTAAAACACAAAGTTTCCATTTGGCACAAAACTACATCCAGCAAAGGTGCCTGGTGTTGGCCTCTGGAGAGAGCAATAAAAATGAAGTAAGGCAGTGTGACAACGAGAACAGAGGCATGTTCATTCAGAGTAGCAGGAGAAGTACCTTCTTACTTCACCTGTCACATTTTATTTTAGATTTACAAAAACAAGCAGAGATTTAAATTAATTTCTAATTGCCTTTCTAAAAGAAAGGCAAATTCAGGCACTTACCTGTTATGTTGAAACATTTCACGTGCTACTTTTGCTTCAACATGCAGTGGTTCAAATGGCAGGTCTTTATGAATTAGCTTTCTGGCATCCCTTGTAAGAGAATGGAAGTTGTCCTAAAAAAACAGTTGATACATATAGAACTGTCAGCACTGTTTGACAGCTGTACTGAATAGACAAAGCATAGGAAACACTAAATATTAGTCAAAACCATAAGGATCATCTACTACAAATCATAAATGTAAGACTATTGCTGTAGGATTATAACTTGTTTCTATTTATCTGCAACAGATCATCGCTGTTTGGATGGACTGATTCAATGCCCAGTGAAATCAATAGGCATTTTTCCATCAGAAACTATACGTATTTACTGGAGTTAAACTTCTCAGGTTTTCCCCACATGATACATACACATACAGTCTTGCTACTGTTAAAATATTCATCTGTGTATCCTGTTTCCCAGAGTCATGATTCCACTTATAAATGACCTCTACTCTGATGGAATCAAAAGAAAAAAGTACTGAATAGTTAATAAATAGACACTGATCACCTTGGTCCCAAATCCAAAGCTCTGTGTACTCAGATTTGTCAATAAAAAGAAACTGTTATTAGGAGAAATTACATTTAAAATGTCACTTAGAAAAAACTTCAGATTAAGTTACTTCAACTACAAGATCATAATGAAGAAAAAGTCTGCATTGTACCAACATCGTTTTGTTAGCCACGCGCACCTCTGCTAATATTTGGGCATGAGAACGAGAATAGACACCAGACGAGTAAAACACTTGTGATTACTCCAGCTACCAAACAGTTACGAGACTTAACGGTTTTAAATTATTAGATTTACCGAAGAGCATGAAATATAAGAAAGCTATTAAGGAAAACTTCAGCTAAATGTGTTCACGGTTCTTTTACAACAATAAACTGATTACGCTGTAAACCACTAGGTGAAAATACACATATTACATGCATTTTTATTTCCAGTGGGCTCTATTCATACAAAGGCTGTAGGGCTATGGTTGCATCTACATTACCAGGCAAGAGTGGCTGAGTAGGAGCAGATCTGCATGACTAACAAAGATGCCACCACTGAGGTCCCAACAGCCACGCCAACTATTCTGGGAATTGTATTTCACACTAGAGCTACTGTAGCCCCATACACTTAAAACCTGTAAGTATTTGGACGACAGCTGTAGGTTTAATTTCATCTGAAAGGAACCCAGTTTGTGTGCTCTGAGACCACTCTGCCATGAAAGCCAGTATGTGGTAAATGCAGAGATTGGTTTCCAAACAGTACTCCTGACCTAAAATAAAATACTAGTGTAGATATACCCTATGAAAAGAAAAAAACCTCGCTGTTCCCTCTCCCCTATTAGAAAAGAACCACTGGACAAGGATGCAAGCTTTATAACTTTTTGAGGAAGAAGTTACTGTGCTTACGTTTGTTGGTTTCCAGTCATTCAGTCTATGGTCCAAAATTACATCATAACAGAAAGCTCCAGAGATCACTGCAGTCCCAATTCCAAAGACAAAAATATTCATGTTTGTAACAAAGTACATATTTCATTGCTGTAATACACACTTATATAAAAATGAATGAAAACCAAAATGATCTCAAGAAATCCATCATAAAATTTGCAGCTGTGATTATACAGTCAAATGGCAGATTAAACACATATCAGGTCACAGATGAGCAGAAGTTGTTACTAACCCTGTTTGTACTTCAGTAATCTTCCAACTCAATGTATACGTCATAATTCTTAGTAATTCAAGTGCTCACAAGGTTATGTAGTTATTAGGGCAAATTTCACAGAAACACACCACATCTTCTAAATACCTTACTCACGTAACTTCACAATAAAAAGGTTATGTACTCAAGTTACTAACTTCACCTATGAAATCTGAAGTGGTGTGAAACCCAGCTGCCACAGACCAATTTTCTGTACTTCGATAACAAAATTGTTTTCAGTATAATTGCTATAAACTAAAAGCTACAACAGCAGCATGTAATACACAAGTCAATGCTAAGTACCTTCAATAATTGGAAAAGAAGCCTCTGATTTTTTTGGTAGCATTATTAAACAGTGACTTAAGAAGCAGCAAAAGACAAGACAATCAGTATAAAATACTTATATCACCTGGCACTGCCAGAGCTCTAGTCAGAGTCACTGAGTACTCATCTTTGAATGCCCGCTTTAACACACATGCCATGATCATGGCACAGGAACGCCAATAGGCCTATAAAGAGAATTTCAAAACACAGATTTATTACCTAGAAGCTAACAACCCATACCAGATGAACATCAGCTATTCATTCCAAAAGAACACCAACATTTAACTGAATTAGGCACAAACCTAGCTGTCAACCCAAGCATTACTTTCTTCAGTATTTAAACTCCTATTTGGAGACAATTCTCCATACACAATCAATCAATCAAAAAAATCAAAGCTGCACTTAAAATGCAAGCCAGATGTTTCCCTGGAGATATTTAAATCTGAAATCATGAATAATACAACAATATAGGTTGAAGGGGATGCCCCCACATCACCTAGCCCGCACCCTGGTCCAACTAATCATAACCATGATGTGTCAACCATTAAAAATATCTGAACTTTCATGACAACAAAGTTCAAGAAAGCAGACAGACATGGAACTGAAAGGGGCATACAGAATTAAGTGGTCATAATAGGGCTCACCTACAATGGGATAAGATACAGACTTACCTTGTTTACTTCCTCTGGATCCTCATCTTTGAAAGTAAGGAACTGAATTTCACATGATTTGGTCAAAGGTCTATATATATCCCAGACTTCACCATCCACAAGAGCTAGAACGGATTTCCTGCAATGCCATTCACTTAAGTCTAAAGAAAATGAAAAAAGTATTACACAGTTATTAACCATACTCCTCAGAATCAGCAGTTTAGACCCATGCATTTGAAACAACAAACCGCAAGTTTCGCTTTTGTAGATGGAAAAGGAAGGATGGATGTTGTTTGGAAGGATGAGCTGTTAAAAGAGCCTCCAAAAATTAACTCAGTTTCTGTGATGTATTTTAGTACAAATGTATTTTAAACATACCAACTACAAATATTCTGAATCCATGTCTGTTACCTTAATCATCAAAACATCAATAATATTAACATTTCAAATTCGGATGACAAGGACTTCAATCGACGGTGCAATTTTCATCACCAGTGGCACAATGTTAGTTTAAGAGTCCATTGACTTACGCATGGCACAATTGTATGGTGTAGACAAAGCTTTGTTCATTACAAACACACTGCCAGGGTGAGATTTCCCAGTGTATTTTACTTCGATTTTCTCAATTCGTGGATACAGAGACAACTGTCTCTCTTTCTCTTTGGTAAAGAGCTCATTACGCATCTGAATTACTTCATCCGATGTCAGTCGAGAAACAGTCGGCGTGGAGATGAACCCTGGTAAAAGGGGTGATGTAAAATAAGCAATAATGAGTTTTTAAAGCTACTTTATGAGATGCTTGTTTCTACAGAAAGGAAGACATGCCACAGCACTGCTAATCCGGGGG